AATACATTACTGTCAAATGGTATCCCACCAAATAAGTTAATCTTGAAAAGAAATTGTCTAATGATGCTCTTGGAGAGTTTAGACCCATCCAACGGTTTTTGTGATGAATAAAAATGATTTGTCGTGATTTCAAGCAACATATTATCAATGTAGAAATAATTGTTAGACAACATGCTGGAAAACAAGTTTTCCTTCCACGCATCCCATTAACTTCAGAAAATGATGAAGAGTATCTATTCAAATTCAAAAGGAAACAATTTACAATACGTCTATACTTTGCAATGATTATTAACAAGGCTCAAGGACAAATAGTACCTACTATTGGAATATACATTCATGAACATGTATTATCTAATGGGCAATTTATATGTCGCACATTCTCATAGAGTTTCTATGCAAACAACAAAAGTTTTGGTAAAAGCAGAAAATAAAAAGAAGAAACAATGTGGAATGTTTTCAAAAAAAATATTGTATGTAAAGAAGTATTATTGTAAAAAAAAACATTACATTTAAGTTTATTCAATAATTTCACATTATATACATAATTTTATAAAAAATTATACATACATAATGTGTGTATGTATGTATGTATTTTACAATTTTAATTTTTCATTTAACAATATCAATTACCTTCAACTACTTTAAAAACAGTATTAGTATTTCTAAAATATTGCGCATATCATTCATTTGATATTTTTACGTGCAACGGACGTTCTTATTACTAGTAAATTGAAAACTACGAGTGTATATATAATTTTATTTTCTTAAATTTTTGTTTTTAAGATCGCTGAATAATAAAATCGCAAGCATAAATTGAGCAGTAATGAAAATCACTAACAGATGCTTTAAATACAAGTACCCAAAACTCCCAAGCAGGCTCTTGTGCAAATCTCTCCTCTTTCTCTTCTGTCTACACTGAGCGCCCCGCCCGCCCGCCCGCCCGCCATTTCTGTTTGCTGCAATACAAAGAGGTATTGCAACTTCACCTATAATGTTGCATTTTCTTCCGTTTTCAGGTAGTTTAAGCCTTCGTTTCTTAATTTAATTTATGTCTTGATTTCATTTTAAATAATTACTAAGAAATGAATTACAGTGCAACAGCACCTATAATTGCCTCCAAGATAGTTGTTGCCTTTTCTTATTCTGTTATAAATTAAACGAAGTTAAAAAAATTTGCTAGTTTTGTTTAATTATCAAAAGTTTCCTTTGTATATTATCATTCTTGATACTGTTTGTTTAATTGTTTCACACGGTGTTTCAATCTAAGTTTGAATGTTTAATTTGAGTTAACTGAATTTATCATGGGATATGCAGATTGTGAGCTAGCGTTCTGACACTACCTTTGGAGGCTTGTATATGCGGAGAGAGTTAAAACAATCAACTTTCTCTTCTTCTGGAGAAATTCATTTCCTTTATTTGTCGAGATCTCTACATATTTTTGGATATTTAACATGGCAGCCTTATTGCGTGTAAGTGGAGTCAAAAAGCCATACTCAGCTATCCCAAAGAGAGCTTCCTGTCCTCGGCCTGTCTGGTCACATCCACGGCTCATTTTTTCTGTATCCGTGGCTCCTGTTTATGGACTACGTACGTCACTGAAGGGCTCATGTAGGGCACCATACCTTCGAATTAGTTGTGAGGCTGGGAAGGTTGGTATAAGGCATGGTGCTGAGAGCCAAGGTTCTGAAGAAATTGCTAACGAATTGACACATGTAATGAAGTTCGGGGGATCTTCTGTTGCCTCAGCAGATAGAATGAGAGAAGTAGCTAACCTCATTCTCAGATTTCGAGAAGAAAGACCTGTCATTGTTCTTTCTGCAATGGGAAAAACAACCAATAAACTCTTGATTGTACTTCTTAAGTCCTGCTATCGTTTTCTCATGTTGATTCCTGTATTCTTTGTCAATTCTTTTGAGAAGATGTCCTGATGATATATAATTGGCTTGTATATCAGGCTGGAGAAAAGGCTGTCTGCTGCGGTGTGTCATATGTTTCTGATCTGGAAGAGTTAGCTTTTGTCAAAGATTTGCATTTGAGGTGAGAAAGAGCATGCACTTTTATGTTAGTATTATCTCATCAATTCTATTATTTTTCAATGTAAACATGTTTTTCTGAATGAGGATTGTTTTATTATAATCAGGACAGTGGATGAGCTTGGAGTAGAAAGATCTACAATTTCAAGTGAGTTATCACTTACAGCACTATTTGAACTAACATCTTGATCTAAGGGGTGGAGTTGTTCTCGAATCAATGTATAAGATGTTCTCTCTCAGCATACTATATTATTGTCATCTTTGATGGCGTTTAGTAAACAACTTCGGAGTCAGGAACCAAGGTATTTAAGACCGCTGGTGTTGGGGTAGCTACCATTTGAAATGCGATAGAAATGCTCCCTTATGATATCATTCAAGCATTCTGTACGGTGGATATTGTGCCATACTGCTCCTTTCATTGTTAATTTCAAGTTTCATTCAATTTTGTTATGCATATAAGTCGGTTATCTTGTTGGTACATTGCAATGCAACTTTCTGTAAGGTGTTGGTATTGTCTTCATATTCACTAATTTGCAGGGCAGGTAATCTTTCCTGAAGTAGGGACTGTAATTTCTGCTGTTCGTTAAATTCATTTGTAACATAATAGCTTTTCATTATAGTTTTCATTTAAATGGTGATAATGTGTAATGTATCTAATCTTGACTCTATTTTGATTTCCTTTTTGCTTGACATTTTGCAGAACACCTATTTGAGTTGGAGCAACTTCTGAATGGAATTGCTATGATGAAAGAGCTCACTCCAAGAACAAAAGACTACTTAGCCTCTTTCGGAGAGTGCATGGCCACAAGAATTTTTGCGGCCTATTTGAATAAAATTGGTGTCAAAGCTCGCCAAGTATGCTTCTTCTTTGTCAACTATCTAAAACTTAGCCCTTGTACCAAGTTCTCTAAGAATCATGTTATTCCTTGCTTTTGATCTAATAAACCAGTGATTCGTTTTCTCAGTAATTAATACGCCTCGAGTTCTTTGCTTGCCTCGTATTTTCAAGTTGAGCAGTCTTTGCTACACTTATAAGTTACAGTAATATAGGTACAAGAGCTTGTTATTAGACAGCGGTGCGTGCTATTATTACGTATTTACGTTTAATCTCCGTTGGTGCCTCAAATTATATTGTAATTAAGAATGGTATAATCATTTGATTGCAAATAGTTTCCTACGTGGAACAAAAAATGACTGACTGCCTTTTGGCTTTTAGCCAATCAAACGTTGTCTTAGGACCAGTTTGGAGAACCTCATTCACCTCCAAACACTACCATACCAAATATGGAAAAATGATAAGAGAATATAAATTATGTTTTTAATCAATTTAACTCAAATGGTTTGTGAAAACATCTATAGGGGATTTCCCTCTAAGCTACTTGTAAAAGGTTATTATACCTTAACATTCTCATATCTCCTCTGTTATGCCATGTTGCCATGTACTATAGACAGGAATGCATGCACCTGTGCTTTAAGGTTAGCTTGTGAGACACTTACGAGTTGAATTTCGAGCAAATACATTAATAACTTCATTATATCCAAGTTGATGCAATCAAAAAGTAAACTAGCAGGTCGGATAATTAATTAAAAACTAAAATAATACAAATATGTACATAATTACATTTATTTTTTTGCTGTGTTAATAAAAAATACCCCTCCCATTCCTTAGTTACTGTAAAGTGGTAATTAGTAGTATGTGGCTCAATAATGAGGCTGGTAATGAAATGTTTTTGACATGGTCAGTGTAATCAGTAGTTGCTCTTAGTCACACAGTCTAAGTTCTTCTCAATGACAGGGTTGTATGAATATTTACTTTGTTATGTGCTTCGAAATATTTTTAATCTTCTTTACTGGATGATTTTTCGAAAATTAGAATCCTTTAGTATTGGATGATTACGTCCATGTTTGATCTGTATTAATTTCATTTTTTTACTTGTTTTCCAATGTCAAGCACTTGTTGGAGCTATGTTTGTGTCTGACACACTCCACAGCTTGCATTCCCCACTTTGGAGAAGTGTCTGTGCATCCTAGGTTGTATCCCAGGGTGTCATGTACTGCATTAGTTAGCAACTAGAATGTGCTGGCACTTCTCCAAGCCTGCCAGATCTTGTGGCATCTAATTTATATTAGAAACATATCTATCGCACTTACTGAAAAGGCATTTCTTTTAATTTTATTTTCTATTATTGGATAATGATTTTCTTATAGTTTTCGATCGCATGAACCTTTCCTTTTGTGCTGCCTGCTCAATAAAGTAATTTTTTTACCTTGTTTCTGTCACATGATTTGGATAAATTAATAACTCACATCTTATTTACAGTATGACGCCTTTGATATTGGTTTTATAACGACCGATGAATTTACAAATGCCGATATATTAGAGGCAACTTATCCAGCTGTTGCAAAGAGATTGCATGGCGATTGGATTAACGATCCTGCAATTCCTATCGTGACTGGCTTCCTTGGAAAGGTTGCTTCCATTATGATTCCTGTTTACATTTCCTGGATTACCGTACTTCTCTTGTACACAAATTTCTATCATCCGGAAATAAAAAATCTAAATGGACATTTCATTGTAGGGTTGGAGAACTAGTGCAGTGACTACATTGGGTAGGGGTGGTAGTGATTTGACTGCCACAACTATTGGTAAAGCATTGGGGTTAGAAGAAATCCAGGCAAGTGATTTTCACAAATTCTGTGGTCTTGCTTTGAGAAGAAAAAAGAGCATTACTATCTAATCTGCATGGAATTATTCTGTAGTATACAATTACATGCACAAAATGTATAACCTCTCCTATCAGTCTTTCACTGTTCTTTACAGGTATGGAAAGATGTTGATGGTGTTTTGACTTGTGACCCCAACATATATCCACGCGCAGAGCCAGTGCCATATCTAACCTTTGATGAGGCAGCTGAACTTGCTTACTTTGGCTCACAGGTACCACACAATCTATATGCATTGTATAATGTAGCTACATTGTGAGGCTTCACTCTCTCTGCCGGATAAATTAAGACGTTGCTGGGTTAGAATCCAAATGCGTTGGTTTTTATTGCAAATCAGCATATATATATGCAACTAGTTTGTTGATTGAAGCTCTGACATGTAATGGAGAGTTACTTGCCTAATATGGCCCCCTCTTTCTGCTGGCTATAACATGCTTACAACATACATCTGTTTCTTTGGATTTAAAGGTCCTCCATCCACAGTCCATGAGACCTGCTAGGGAGGGTGATATTCCTGTTCGAGTTAAGAACTCATACAATCCGAAAGCTCCAGGAACCCTAATTACTCGAGTAAGAGATATGAGTCAGGTTAGCAGCACGATAATATTAACTAACAAAACATGGTCAATAGAATGGTCAGAAGGCTTACATCTATTCTTTTCTGTTTACAGGCAGTACTTACTAGCATTGTCTTAAAACGAAATGTAACAATGTTGGATATTGTCAGCACCCGAATGCTTGGGCAATTTGGGTTTCTTGCTAAGGTGAAGGCAGCACCTGCTGCTTGATCTTGCCAGGAGTGACAAGTATTTCAAATCTCTAATGAAATTTCCATAATGATGTCTCTGTTCAGGTGTTTTCAATCTTTGAAGAATTGGAAATATCTGTGGATGTTGTTGCCACTAGTGAAGTTAGTATTTCCTTGACATTGGATCCATCCAAGCTTTGGAGCAGAGAACTGATCCAGCAGGCAAGCTTGTGAAATTGGCAGGGCTTCTTTTTATTATCAAGGATTTGTACTATAAGCTTAAAAAATATCCCATCAATTTATGGTTTCAGTTTCACGTTGAGTTTTAGCCATGGGCATGAGTATTTCCTTTGCTCCACTAGATAAGTTTCTTACCTTGTTTTCACTTGTTAACCAGGAACTAGATCATGTTGTGGAAGAACTCGAAAAAATTGCAGTTGTGAATCTTCTACAGCACCGATCAATCATCTCTCTCATAGGAAATGTTCAGAGGTCGTCGCTGATACTAGAAAAGGTGCTGCTATAATCTCAGCATGTTTATTGCGAAAGCCCATTAAATTTTAGCATAGTTGTCTTTTTGGTTTAATGCTCTTGAGTCCATGAATATTTGCTTTTATAATAAATTTCTAGCAATTATTTTGCGCTTCTCAACATTCTCCGTTGCTGATGTTTAGTATTCTGTTGATATTGGGTTTTCATTTGTTATCTAGGTATATATTTCAAAATTGCTCTGTAAATATATTTTGATATAGCGGTTTGGTTTTTATGTGGCAGGCATTCCACGTGCTTCGTACCAATGGAGTCAATGTTCAGATGATCTCTCAAGGTGCTTCAAAAGTTAACATTTCGTTGATAGTAAATGACAGCGAAGCAGAACAATGTGTTAGGGCTCTTCACACTGCTTTCTTTGAGAGTGATATATCAGAGCTCGTATCGGGACCTAAATCTGGAAATGGTTCGATATGAAGATGGATTATTGGAAACTATCATAAATTTTATCCACGACAGCTGTTGCTTTCTGATTCATATTTACACCAGTAGTAGATGTTCTTGCTTTCAGAAAAGTTAATTGTAGGTACCAATAGCAATGTATTTGCTGAAACGGTGCAACTACGTTGTTAAATATATACTTAAAATTGATTTCATTGGCAGCCCCACGAATCCCTATGGTGGATACGATAGCAATGGTTGAAGCAAATAATCCCTTGGAAGGCAAAATTGAAGTCGATGTCTTAATCGACCCTCACATCACTACATGCATATTTGAAGCTGCAGCGGTGGAAGAGCAAGAAAGCTTTCCTGTTGGCAAAGAGGATGTAACTAAGGTTTTGAAAGTTGGCAAAGATTTGGTTAAGCCAAAGAAAAGCTTGCTAATTTTTTATTTTTTTTTCTAAAAGCGAACCTCGATGTGTTCGCCTAGAAACATGTTGATATGGTCAGGATTGATCTAAGAGGAAATTACACGAACTCAGACATTTGGAGTAGGGGTGAACACGGTTCGGTTTGGGCGATTTGGGGTATATTTTCAACTCAACCTATTTAATGCGGTTTGGAATTTTTCCAAATCAAACCAAACCATTATTTGCGGTTTAGTTCGGTTTTCATCCGTGATGTACTTATCGACATTATAGCTATACGTTTAAAACAAGTTATCATATACATTTAAATAAGAATTAATAATGTTAAATGTTAAATTGC